CATCAATATTCGTTGAAGGACCTGCAATTCCCACATGAAATCTCGAGTGAGATAGATTACAAAAACAAATATGGGAGTTTTTTTGGGGATGGGTTGAACCTCGAAGAGGGATCTTCTGGTACCGGGATCTTCAATGGTTGGAAAATACTGAAGAGCCCTCATTGTTTTAACCTGTGTTAACCAAAGACAGATAAGCTGATAAGCCTACTGACGTTAGGAGACTGGGTTTTCTAATGACTTTGGCTTACTATAGGAGTTCGATGTTTCAGTTTGTTGTTTCGGTTTTCTATCCTACTTCTAGTAGGTTTTGGCTTCTGTTATAACCCCTATACAAGGGGTGTTTCTATAGAGGAATAAAGCATTGAAAGTTAAGGTCAAATAGGTATGTTTCTCAAAATAACAACAAAGGAGATACACCAGTCTCTCTAAGTAGCGGCATGAGATATGTCGGTCTCTCTAAGTAACAGCAAACAACTGATAGAATCCATCAGATTCTGCCACATAAGCATTCAAAATAAACCTTCAAATTGAACATGTGCACTCATTTAGTAAAATTAGCCACAACAATTGCTGGCAGCTAATTCTAAACCAAACATAAAGGATGCAGTGAAAGAAAAATGAACATCACCAAAGAAGCATATGGGCTTTAAAGAAAATACTTTACAAAGAGATCTAATACAAACCTGGAGCCAAGGAGATGGAATTCCATAATATGTGTACTCTTGAGGGACATCCTGGTTCCTAGCAAGGCGTTCCAATATTTTCACACACTTAGGAAGACAACTCCAATATGCCTCGTGATTATTTGAAACCAAAGCTACAAGAAGACTCATAGAAGATGTCAAGACACCAAGATCACGTTCATCCAAAAGTTGTTCCATCCGATCAGCCCTGGAGGCATAATACAACAAGAATGAAGGAAATATACACAAGTAATACTGAAACAACCAGAGATACTCAAGTCCTAATGCATACCAGCCATCCACACTGACAACATCGGGATTTTTTCGGAACAAGCGCAGCAGGCATAGTGCAGCTTTCTTCCTTACAAGAGGCCTGCAACTACTAGAAATCTGAAGGAAACAAATACCTTAACATCAATCGCTCCAGCACTAAGCAATAATTCTTAATCTGTAGCATGTGGGGAGTCACTCACAAGTAGCTTTTGAACATCAGGTGTCAATGATTCAGCAAACTCTCTTCCCCCAATATTTCCAACCTACCAGAGAAAGCGAACACAAAAGTAAAAAGAGCAACCTAACTAAAAAGTAAAATTTGATGAAAAGGCTTTAACTCACAGAACAACAAGCATAAAATATAGCTTCTTTAGATGTATTATATTGAATCAGATAGTTAACCGCAGCTCATTGGCAGAACAACATTACTAACGATCTAAGATCTCCATACGTTATGGAAGTAAGAGCACGTACCAAAGTCAAAGCCAGGCATTGGAAAGTCTCATTCCGGCCTATAATATCGTTCCGCACCATATTTATGGCCAGTCTCAGAAAATCATTGTTCTCATTGAGCAAGCATGATGTAACAATGTAACCAACCTGCAATCATGGTGGTAAAACAGAATACATTCAAGATTTATTTATACAAACCTTTGGGAGGTCAAAATACATAGAGCCCTAAAAATTATTCATGAACGCGTGATATTATCAGTCACATCTCAGTACTGAAGAACTTAAACTTTTCCATACTCGATTAGAAATGAGATTTTTATAAATGGAATAAAGTCGCAAAAATATCTAGCACCTCAAATAATATCAATGTGATAGTCTTTTGAACCTTGCTTTACATGATATGATCTTCACTGACACTTTTGCATTATTCCAGTAAAATCCTTAGATTCATAGTTAAAAAAAATACCCTAACACCTCCCCCAAAAAAAAAAAAATTTCCTTTCTCCTATCTACAGAATAGAAAGCGCTATTTCAGGGTTTAAACAAATGAAATGAGCTCAGAGTACCTGCTTTTCTGGATACTTTGGTGCAGATAAAAGAGAAACTGCTTCCACATGACCAAAATCTACATCGTAGCCCAGCATATGTATATAAAGCATTTTCCAGACATATTTCTTCTTTTTATATGGCGTCAACACCTGTCGAATATAAAATCACATGAAAAAGCGACTGAAAGTTTGTTTGAGAAATTTTGCGGATCTTGAAGTAGAGAAGGCAAAATCAGGTTCTGAGCACGCTGCCAGCTACAACTCTGCTACTCACATTACGGACCCTAGAACTACCCCATAACCTGTTGCAATGTCACAACTTAACCTAATTTGTATTAAGCTTCTTAAATCTTTCTGCAAATTTATTTCCTTAGATCATCAAAATTCACCGAATGTATTGGCAACACAAAGGTTTGGGTTCGATTTTCCTCCTTCTAGTGCTCTTTTGATATAAAGATATCATCTGCCCTTATTCAACTTACATTCTTTGCCAAGGTTCAACTTTTGTGATGGGCAGATATATCACAACAACGCTATCCAACAAAATTTGATGGGCAGATATATCATGGACCCCTTCAGCAATCACTAAAACCGTCTTCCTAGCTTTGATAAACTTTCAGATTATAAACAATTTCGTATCTTCCCTTTTGCGATACAACCGGAATGCACTCAGGTTATAAACAATTTCGGATGAAAAGAAAAAAGGTCGGCTCAAATTTTCACATCCTTCTTAACCCAACATTTCTCGCTAACAAAACCGGGCATCTAAAATCTGTAGCGTAAACAAAACCCTAAATCATCGCATCCCTTGAACCCAACAAAACGGATATTCCGATACTGAATTACTACTCAAACGAAGAAACAGGAACATAAATACAATAGAGGTAAGGAAATGTTCACAGGGAGGGGGAGAATAAGAGGAAACCCTAACCTTCTCATTCTTGAAGCAGGTACGGATGTTACCGAGCTCCTTATCAACGCGGAGACGCTCCTGCTCCTTGTTCTGGCAATTTCGGATATCGCTGATGAAGACGGAGAGACCTCTCATCCCTGTCATGGCGGAACAGCTTCCTCAGATCCACCGTCCGCCGCGCCACAGGAGCAGATCCACCTCGCAGAACCGAATCTAACCACGACAACGACGACAAACTAAAGTTCACGCATAACAACAATTGCCGAAACGGAAATCGAAACCCTAACCTCGAACAGAAATGACCCCTCTAAATCGGAGAATTCAAAAGGTGAGTGATCTGCAGAAGCAGAAGGTGAAATGAGGAGAGAGAGAGAGAGAGACGAAGGAGAGGGAAGCCTGCGGGGAGAGAGAGACAGGAGACGACTTTTATTTTTTTGTTAAATTACCAATATGCCCTATTTAATGCCGTTTAATTTGGTTTTCACCTACTTTAATGATATTTAATTTAAGACCCCAAACGTTTAAATTTATTCGATTTTAAATCCAAAATTTTTGTCCGTCATATCTATGAATTAAGAATTCAGCATTTTGTGATACGATACGAGTAATTGGGAGTGAAAAGTTTAGATTCGTAAGTATGAGAATTTTGTATAATTTTGATTTTTCCTTTTTTTCTTTTTTAGAATTGTATTATTTTTTAAAGGTTTTTTTTTTGTTTGAATTGTCTCGCTTTTCTGGCGGTCAATTATTTCGAGCATTGAATTGGTGTTTTCTGTTGTCAATTTCGGGTAAGAATCGGGTTTTTTTAGTGATTACTCGGGTCGGGTCCTTTTGGGTACTGGTCCCATTAAATGATTATTGGGCCCGGGTCGGATATAATCGCAGTTGTCTTTTGTTATATCATGGGCTACAGATTAAAAAAAAAAAGATACTAGAAAATTATTTATTTATTTAAACGTTTTCATTATCATGATTTTTGTGATATCTATGGTACAGGTAGATTCCACTCATAAAATATTCTCCTATTGAAATAAAAAAGCGATTAAAGTTTTAATATTTTCCACCAACCACCATCACACTCCCCTTTTTTTAATAAGGGTCAAAAGTCTTGGGTCATAAATGCAAACGTCAAAAGTGGAAAAAATGAGTTCAATAGTTTTTATTTTCTGTACATCGAGAAATTATATATATATATATATATATGACTTTATGCTAAGAAACAACTATTTAAATTTAGAGGTTACATGTTAGATAAGATTAGCATGTGAACGTAATCATTAATTTTAAATGCTAAATTTATTAAAATAAGCTTTTTCTGATGTGTGATAGTATAATATCAAAACTCCCTTTACTTTGATATATAAACTTTAAACCATATCTTTTTTAACCTGTTTTTTTTTTATCCATGTTAACAATATATGGTGTTCATACTAGGTGTGATCATTGTTAATTGTTAATAGTAATAGTATGAACAACATGCAATTTTAACGTATGGCCGGTAGGGATGGCCATTTCGATTATTAACCGAATAACCGAATCGAACCGAACCGAATAAGAGTGGTTCGGTTCGATTCGGTTATTTGCTTAATAACCGAACGGTTGAGAAAGTTGAATAACCGTTCGGGTTCGGTTCGGTTCGGTTAATAACCGAATAACCGTAGTTAACCGAACGGTTATTGAATTTTTTTAATATTTTAATTTTTACCCTTATTATTATTAATATTATTTTTTTATACTCCACTTTTAACCTTACATATTTCTCTCAATAAACCATAAAATATAATGTTTTTAACTTTTATCCTAATTATTGAAGTTTTTAGATTTTTTTAGATATTTTGAAGTTTATGTAGGATTAATAAAATTTTTTTCAAAATATATCATAACCGAACCGAACCGATCTAAAACCGAACCGAATAAACCGAACCGAAACCGAACTGAACCGATTAAATCTATATAACCGTTTGGGTATGATTTTTTTATAACCGAAATAACCGAACCGAAACCCGAAATGGCCACCCCTAGTGGCCGGTGTAACTCTTGAAATAAATTACGATGATCACACGGAAAATGATATAGATGGATGATACATACACACACAATATGCAGCATAAACCAAATGAAAAAGAATAATAGCAGTTTTAAATAATAATTTTAGCCAATGTTTAGCTTTTAAGGAGGTAAAACGAAACAAATACAAATGAAAGGGGGAGAAAGAAGAGAGAACCAAAACACAGAAGTCACAGCTTCTTCCCCCAGTTTATATAACAAAGTCTCTGGCTTTCCAAATTGCCTCCAAACCCTATTATCATATCACTACTAAGCCTCTCTCGGCAAGTCTACCGAATCCGAATAGAACAGAAATTGAATACCCGAACGTAAGCGAGAAGGGTACACAAAGGTATGATCGGGTACATCGGAAAGTTGTCGAGACATTAATCTACGAAAAATACGCTTATAACGAATGTATAAAAATCCATCTTACCCGAGAGGAGGGAGCGAGCGAAGAGCTCAACTAGGATGCGATCGGCTTCGAGATGGCCTTCTTGATGGCCTCCGAGTATGTCCGGTGTTGGTAAGTCAGTGTTGACTCGAGCAGGTCCCATAGGGATGTCTTCGGGTTCCATCCTGTCGTCAGTTAAAAACCATTACCAAAACAATCACTGTGATACAAAATTTAGGGCTCGGGTGTGTGTACTCGAACCCACGGGACCCATCTGTCCCGCACATACCCGAAATTTGAGAGCTTACCGAGTTGACGGTTGATAATTGTCATGTCAGGAATTCTCTTGTCGCTGTCATCGTACCCTTCACCGTAGAATTCTTTGGAGCTGACATCGATCGTCGGGCTGTCTATCGGGGCTTCTCCGCTCACTTTAGAATAGACCTGTCGAAATGAGTAAAACCCCGGTTTACAAAACCTGAAAGCTCGGGTAAAAAAGAATGGGATACTAAAAGACGAGTAATCAGATATATCAGAATCCACCTCTGTCATCATTTCTGCAAGTTGTCTCACTGTAACTTCATTGTTCGGGTTGCCCACATTGAAGATATGTCCGTTTGCTCGGTCTGGGTTTTCCTATGGAACATTAAGTGAAAGTTTAGATCGGTTTTTCGAGCAATGAACACAGGGAATAAAGTGGAAAATGCAAAAGGAACATGGGATACGAACAATCATAAGCAGAACAACTTCAATGGCATCCTTGATGTAGATGAAAGTTCTCTGTGATTGTCCACCGTCCACAAGCTTAAGTGGTTCACGGCGAAGAAGATTCTGAACAGGGAAAACAGGAACAGGTAAAACATAAAGTATATAGAGATAGTTTGGTTGAAAACATATAGCAGAGAGTCAAACTCACATTACTGAAACATGCAAGAACCCTAGGGACACCTTCGCTTGGACCGTCGATGCCTGGAATAAAATCCATCCTTGGCCCAATCCAGTTGAAAGGTCTAACAATTGTGAACTGAAGTCCGTTCTCAGCGCCCTCAGCTATGAAAGGAAACCGATTTTGGTAAGAAAGATTGGTCTTGAGTGCCCTAACCAGTGAACCGGAAATTTCAGTGTCTGGAATTTACGTACCATAAATAAGCCTCTCGATAAGTTGCTTAGCACATGCATACGACCACCTCTGCTTCTCAATAGAACCGAAAATGCATGGGGAAGTATCCTCTTTGAGTACATAATAAGCAGGATCCTGTAACAGACAAACATATCATTCTTACACATATGCATACATATGGCATAACAGAATAATCCATTCCCAAATTTTACACACTAATAACATGTGATGTACATACTAATACACCATACGAAGCTGCCAAATCGCAAAAAACTCTTTATTGATTAACTTTTTAGTCTTGATGAATGCTACATGTAGAAAGAAAATTTCCAAACTCTGAACCCCGTAGGAGCAGCAAAATGTATTCTCTTCAACCATCTCACCCAGAATGCATAAAAACAAACCCCAAATACTGAACCAGCATGGCCTAGATCTATAGATCAGTACCAACTACTAAGTACTAAGAAGACCAATGGAGCCTCGTGTTTTCCCAAACCAGAAACGACACCAGAGAATGATTTATCCAAAACGATTCAGCACTCTACTCTCACCATGTCACAACTAAACCTTTAAAGGCGATAACAACGATAAGATTCGAACGGCGAAATGGGTGAAACTGAAAGTTTACCTGACGGAGAGGACTATCACTGGGAAGAAAGCTCCCAATAGTTTTCCCATACACTTCACACGTTGAGAAATGAATGAGACGCTTATTATTTTCCGAGCAGTACTTCACCTACAAGACGCGACAGCGCAAATCACAACTACCCAGTAACAATCAACACCCACAGATATCAATCACCTACAAAAGTTGCTTACCACAGGAAGCGCATCAATGAAATTGCTGTAGATCGTATCGAGCGGACGAGTATTGTAATCCGCAGGAGTGCATATCGCCGCAAGATTAATAGTCTACACCATGAAGTCCAACATATCAATTTGAATCAAGTCAATCACACGGAATAATTAAAAACCCCACACATGAAACATGCACAAAAACATAATGCCACATAAATCCAATCAATTCCATGGACAAACGCCCGAAAATCGGGAGAATTTCGCCCAGATTGGCAATCAAACGGATCAGATCGGCCATCCGAGGATACATGCATACAGAGAGATAGATATATATATTTATAGAGAGAGAGAGAGAGAGAGAGAGAGAGAGAGAGAGAGAGAAATGCACCCACCAGATCGGCCAACTTGATGAGACCCTCAAGGCGAGAATCGTGCTTGACATTGAGGCGATGGAACTGGATCCGGCCGGCCCAGGGAAGAGAATCCGGCTCGAGAAGGTGCTTGATCTTGTCTCCGTACACATCGAGAGCGAGCACCGTGTGCGGCGTCTCCGACATGAGCTTCTCGCAGAGGTGAGAGCCAATAAATCCTCCGGCTCCGATCATGCAAATCGTCATCGGCTTTATCAGCCTCCCGTCCAGATCCAGTCTTCCGGCACCGGCATCCATTTTTCGGTGGTTTCCTTTTTTCCCGGTGATTTGATCAGAGAATCGAAGCTCTCCGGCGGAGGAACAGTGAATGTGACAGAGATTCCCGGATCGGGAAATTAAAGGGCGACGAGAGACTCTCGTGATGGACACGGTGCTTTTGACTCACACACGCGAGCGCATAGAATCTCTTCTACTCCCTGCTTTTAAATGCCACGTGGATTTTTATTTTTAATTTATCCGTAAATGATTTTTTTCTACTTTAAATTTATCCGTAAATGAATTTTTCTACTTTAAATATTCTGTTTTGCCCTTTATTCCGTCGTCAATTCAGCAATTCCGATAATTTATATGGGAATTATTTTTCTTAGATACTTTTCCATAATGAAAATCATTGTAAACTATTATTTAAAAATTTATACGTTTTACAGTACATGAATGTTTAAAAGATTTTAAATAAAAACATCAAAATTTATATTTTAAATTATCAACATAAATTTGTTGAAAAGTTCTTATAAAAAACGAATTAATTTAAAACAAAATTATATAAATTGAATAGCACGTAAAACGGCGTCGTTTTGTTGGACAACTTGTAGACTCAATACGACATCGTATCTGGACGGAGTGACTATTTTGGGCCCAAATTGAAAATAAGCAAACGTTTTGGGCTTTCCCACAAATAAAAAAAAATACCACTCAATTTTTTTATAAAATTACTTTTTCTAAAAAAAACTATTTTTATGAAAAAAAATGAATAAAAAATCAAAAGTGTTTTTTTGGTTTACAATTATAACAACCAAAAACTCAAAATAAAAATAATTCCATTCAAAGCCTCAATTTGCATTTTATTGTTCCATACATATGCGATGATTATATGCTTAGTTAATATTTATATTATGTTATTCAAATTTAGGAGTGAAGTAAATGAGAATAAATCCACAATCAGGATATGATTTTCTGGAAAAAAAAATTATTAGGGTTAGGAATCGAATTTGGGGTCACATTTTCGGTTTTAAAATCGGATTTAAAATTCTAAAATTGAAATCCCTTTGGATTGAAAATCTGATAATCTATAAATTCAAAGTCGGATTCGAACACAATTAATCTGCCAAGTGGCATGACACGCTTTTGAACACGTGTCAAAATATCGCAATTTTTTGAAAGGATGAGAATCCCAAAATAATCCTCCGCCACAAAAAATAACGGTCAACTACCTTTATTATTTTTATTTATTTAATTCAGAAAAACAAACTTTTTGTAAAAACCCCGGCAAAGTAGTGGATATCAAAATTAGTAATAAATAAATAAACTGAATAATAAAATTATCTAATATGATGACATGTTTTCGGTTTTTGGATATATTTTGAATTTTTATAATCGAATATTATATTATTTGCTTCTTTAATTTATCCTTTTGGCAAAAGTGTTCCTCACAGAATCTTCATGACCAGAGCTCCTTCTCACCACCAACAATGGCGTTAACTCCATCCTCCTCTACATTCCCTTATCTTCTCCAATTCTCCGACCAGTCTTCGTCACCGACTACTCTGTTTCCCCTTCTGGGCCCGACGTGGTCTTCTTCTCCTCCCCCCTCTTCTTCCTCTTCCTGTTCTGTCCACTTGTCGGCGCTAGGCAGAGCTCCGATTTGTCCCGAGACATTGAAGGTTCTGTCGAGATCGAAGTGCTGGGCGAAGCCGTCGACCACGGCGGAGGATTTCGTCAGCGATTCTGAAACCCTAATCACTAGCGACGACGAAAGCGACGGAGGTGGTGACGGCGATAATGGAGGGCGAGAAGATACGAAAAAGATCGCTTCTTCTTCTTCTTCTTCTTCTTCGTCTTCGTCTTCGTCAAGTGATTCTCTGTCTCTGGGGATCCGTGAGCCGGTCTATGAGGTAATCTTCTGAGAAAACGAAGATGGGTATTTTATGTTTTTTACTGGGTTTTGTGAGTTAAGGAACAATTCCTGATTAAATCCGAGTAAAATCATGTTCGATCATGAAGGTCCAGGTGTTGAAACTTGAGGAAGTAAACCATGTCTTGAAATTGAATCCGTGATTATGGGTTTATGTTACTGATCTAAAGTTCGAAACTTGACATGGAGTTGTGGAAATTCCTGATCATATTGTGATTTGTCAGATCGGAACAATCACGCATGGTTCTCTTATTAAGTTCTTATCCATGTCTGGAAAAGAGGCTGTCTTGGATCCATGTTTATGTGGTCATGTCGCTGAGTTCAAGCAAGAAACTTGAATGGAATTGTAGGAATTTCCCAGTTAAAATTGTTGTTCTTCAGTTCATAGGAGTTCACTGCCTCATGATAAGCTTTTACTGAAACCATCACAGTGTCACTCACTCTTTGTTTCTGATGTAAAATTCTTATCCATGTCGGAGAAAAGGTTGTTGAAGTGAAAGCCACTGGAACGATATCCACAAGGAAGATCAACAGAAGACAGCTCCTAAAATCCAGCGGTGAGTATGCCATTTTCAAGTTCCATGTTCTGATTTACAATCTTGATTTCGGGTTTACCGAAAAAGCTCTATTATCTTTGTGGTGTTTCACTCGTCAAAATCGGCACTTACTCCGTCATTTATCGTGCTATGGTACTGTAATATGATTAAAAACGTTTAATGTCACACTCTTCTCTTTGAATCTTCTCTTCTGTCTTATCAGGTCTGCGTCCAAGAGATATCAGAAGCGTAGATCCTTCATTGTTTATGACGAACTCTATGCCATCTCTATTGGTAAAAGTTGCATTTTCGTGGTAGTTTATGAAACATTCGGTTATTTCATACCCGTTTTCCAACTTCTTTTCATGGAAAGTTTTGAACTTTTTACTATCTACCCTTTATTTAGGTTCGTGAACACGCAATTCTGCTAAATTTGGGCTCACTGCGAGCAATAGCAATGCGAGAACACGTCCTCATATTCGACTATAACCGGTAATATCTCGATTGTTGCCTTTTATTCTTTGTTCTTCTTGGCCAACACTCGATTTCTTAGTATATTGATTTGAGTCAAAATATTTTCAGTAAAGGAGGAAGAGCGTTTATAGACACGTTGATGCCTCGGCTCAACCCGAGAAATATGAACGGAGGACCCTCTATGCCCTTTGAACTTGAGGTTGGTTTTTCGTTACCATTAACTTACTGAGATAAAATGGGGGCAATGATAAGTGTATGTTACTATAAAATAAGGTATAATTTCGGTATAACTCAATTATGTTGGTGTTAACGTCTCTTTATTCCGATTCTTTAAGGTTGTTGAAGCAGCACTCATCTCTCGGATACAACGTTTAGAGCAGAGACTTATGGACATAGAACCTCGTGTGAGTATATATTCCGGTTATATCAGTTTTCATTTGATAGTTAGGTCCCGGCTTTCTTTTCTTTCCCGAAAAGTTGACCGAGAGTCTTGCCTTAAAAGAGAAAAAAAGTTGCCTTTGTTTTGTCTGCATTCCCATTTGCACTGTGCATTTTCCTTTCGATAACAGCTTGAATTTTTTCCCGGGCATAGAATCTACGAACAAAAGATTACGAAAACAAATAATACTCCTTGTTCTTGTTACTCCGAGACGAAAGTATTAGCATGACACTTACCAAATTTACGGTTTTTTCCTTTTCACATCGCTTCCCTCCTGAAAATTATCTTTATGCCATTTGGTTCAGGTCCAAGCACTTCTTGAGGTTTTACCCAACCGTTTAACCGCCGACATATTGGAAGAACTCCGCATTAGCAAGCAAAGACTGGTATAGTCGGTCTTATCATTCCTTGTTCTTGGTTTCAAGTTCTCCCGAGAGAAACCCGGGTTTTCATCCGATGGGTTCTTCGTCTTGATTTATCATAGGTTGAATTGGGTTCGAGAGCTGGTGCTCTTAGGCAAATGCTTCTTGATCTTTTAGAGGATCCACACGAAATACGACGTATATGCATCATGGGAAGAAACTGCACTCTTCGAAGAGGGAACGATGATTTGGAATGTTCTCTGCCTTTGGAGAAGCAGATTGCCGAGGGTAATTCCCCCGACTCTTTCTTCATGACTTTTGTTTCTGACCCGAGAAAGATCGAGATTCATTTTCCTTTCGGTTTTTGTTTCTTTGCAGAGGAAGAAGAGGAAATAGAAATGCTCCTGGAGAACTATCTCCAAAGGTTTATAGTTTTATTCCGCACGACCAATCTATCGTGAACTTCACTCTCGAACCATAACAGTATGCTTTTTTTCGGGTGATCTTTTTTTTTGGGGGGCAGATGTGAGTCGTGTCACGGTCAGGCCGAAAGGCTTCTGGATTCAGCAAAGGAAATGGAAGACTCCATTGCTGTGAATCTAAGGTTTGGAAGAGATAAACTCCTCATTCCTCAAATACTCGTTTAGTATCGTTACCGTTATTCATCGAATCTAAATCTGTTAGTACGGTTGCTTCTCAGCTCTCGGAGGCTAGAGGTTAGCAGATTCGAGTTGCTGCTTCAGGTCGGGACATTCTGTGTGGCGGTTGGTGCTCTCATTGCGGGTAAATTTTCACACGAATAAATGATCAATCTGTTCTTGGAAAAGATCTTAGTCTCTAATTGCATACCTTGTTTCAATACTTGCAGGCATATTCGGTATGAACTTGAGGTCCTATCTCGAAGAAAACGCGGTAAGACACCGACCCTTTTCTCGAGAAAAAGACAAACGGGTATTTATATCCATTTTTACGATCACTCACCATCTTGGCTTGGGATCCGTGCAGTCTGCATTTTGGTTAACGACGGGCGGAATCATCCTGGGCGCCATTGCAGCGTTTTTCCTCTTGTACTCATATCTCAGGAAACGGAAAATCCTTTAAAAGCCACTGTACATCTCTGTACAAAAACATCAGGTAAATAACCGTTATTTTTCTTCAGTTTCCTCCAAACAAGAATGATCAATCTTGAGATAGAAATGTAGTTTTCTTTTCTTGCAGGTGAATCCATCAAGAAAATGATTTTATCTCAGATCAAGAACCGATCATGCCCTCTGGTCTATGTTTCAGTTCATGGTAGAAGCATAAACAAAGATATCAGTCATATGTTTGCTTGGTCATTTGAAGAGAAAATAAGTCAAGGAACGCTGTTTCCTTCAAACACCGAGTTCTGAGACAAAAGCTTGTCTGGTTTAAGTACTGGATAGTATTCTCAACATTACTTCAGTGAAAGTAATTTATGGATCATCACAAAAACACAATATGAAGTTTCAAACACTTGTATCATTTAAGTATTATACTCAAATGGATCATCTTTGAATATCCAGAGACCAGTAAAGACATGTTCAAACAGAACATGAACCCATATCTGAAACCGTCTCAAATCTCTCAGAAACTGCAAAAGCAAAACACAAAACAATAAAAGAAAAGGAAAAGAGAGAGAGAGAGAGACAAAACAGTTTCAATGCTGAGTTCCAGAAGACAACACATACAGATACAGCTCATGATCACAACTTGACATAACGCCGCCTATTTACCTTGAAAAACAGCATTTGTAATGTGGAGAAAGAAGAAGCAATGAACCAACCAACAGAATGGAACAGACCAACGAACAAAAAATGAACCCTTTTTCCGGGTTATGTCTCTGTCTTTTACTTTCGAACATCCCGAGAAGACTTCCGACCATCTGAGCTCTCGATGGCTATACTCTGACACTAGCCTCCATCTCGTCTTTTCCCTTCTCTATCTTCTCATCCAATGCTTCTTCTAGGGATTCTGGATTACCCGACGGCCGCAGAAGATTCGGTCCAGGATTAATCCATGGATGTGTGAGGCATTGAGTGGCTGTCGGTCTCTTCTCGGGCAAAAAATCGAGAATCGGAACGATGAAATCTGCCATAGCGTTTGCATCTTGCTCGCTGAAATTGTACTTTTCCTTTAAAACCTTGTCGAGCGGCCAAAAGCGTAACCTCCTTGTGTGCCTTAGCTCACCATATCGGTTGAAGAAATCTTGAGAGTAGCGACCGCCTAATGCAGTCTACATTTCGGATAAACCGATCCCATCAAACAAGATTTAACATATCTGATTAAAAAAAAATTATAGCAAGAAATGTTTAACCATTTGAGATAGGTATTCTTGTCAAAAGATTATGTCCTATAATCTTACCTTGCGTGACATCATTCCAAGAAGCTCCACCATCAATGCCAGATGATCCTAACATAGAGGTTCATTACTTCAAGATCGTGCAAGAAACCTCAATGTGAAGCTCGATGAAAATGAAATGAGCGAGTTTTTAACACGACAAATGGAAGGAAAATAAAGGGTATATGGAGAGATACCTTGTCCCTGTCGTAGTTTTCGCCGCTGTGAGGATCAAAAAGGACAACTCCGGTGGCCAGCTCGAAACAGATGCAGGCAAATGACCACATATCTGCTGATGTCGAGTATTTTGATCCGATAATAACTTCGGGACACCGATACTGTCTTGTCTGAATATCACTTGTAAATCGTTTATACGTCCAACAAGCATTCCCAAAATCCACTAACTTGCATTTGCTATCTACCGCTCCCAGTAACTTTTGCCTCGTTGAACGACTTCCTCTCCTGTTACTCTGACTCTTTGTGCTAGCATTCTCGGTGATTTCATCGCCCTTTACTCTCCCATTCTTAGTTTCAGAACTGTCTCGGGACCTTTCTACAGTGGAGTCCTCGTTGGGTCTTGCTTCGGCATTAGAATCTCTCTCATTGTCCTCTGAAGATTTCTCCCTAGGATCGCATTGAGCTGCGTTCTTAGCCTTTTTCCGGATCTCTTTCTTCTGATCCTTTGTCAAATCCGCACTATACAAGTAACTTTTAGTTTCCTTTTCCGTGACTGACCCGGAAACAGTATTGTCCTTTGTTGCTGGAAGAACAATAGGGGCACCTGATTTACGAGGGTCTTTCAATGGATCAATCATTGAACATAGCAAGACGTTTTCCGGTTTCAGATCGGTGTGAATAATAGAGAGCTCCTGATGGAGATAATCCAAACCAACCAACATATGAAAGCAAAGCTCTTTAACCATGTGGAGAGGGACCCCTCGAGAATCGCTGTACTTGATAAGGGACAAGAGGTTATTACCCAAGTACTCGAAGACCATACAAACATGTTGCCCATTAGGACCTGAATGCTTAAAATGATCCAAAAGCTTCACAACACATTTTTTATCATCTGGGTCTCCTTCTGCAATCTGCTTGAGGATTTTAATCTCATCCATGGCTGCATCGGTGTAATCCTGAGCACTTTTTTGGACTTTCAAAGCTACATAACGCTACAAAAAATGAATTTTCTGGCGTGGTCAAACGCAATGAGTGAGAAAACAATACAAAACACAAGTTCCTCCACAGCCAGATTCAAATCAGAAGTTGCAAGTGTCAGACAAACAAAATCTATAACAGGAACTCGAAAACCAATATTACCAGGACAAAAGAACATGAGGCTAAAACAAGTAACAAGTCTATCTGTGTTTTGTTTTACTACAAACACTGAAAAAGGGGCCAACAATCTAGTACAGGTGATTGATTTGAAGACAAAATACTTCCAGTGAAATCCAACAATCTCGCTGGTGCAAATTACAGTGAAACCCAAGCCGCTAACTTCAACAAGACAAAAAGACCCCTCTTTTTCACATCGCTGCTCCTAAACTTTTCTCAATTCCAATCAAAATCCCTAGAAAGTTAGTGACATACCGATTTTTGGGTGTCCCAAACGAGCCAGACAGTGGAGAAATGCCCCCAGCCAAGCTTGCTCTGAACCACATAGCATCCATTCTTGAACGTGTCGCCGATTCGCACCGCGTGGTAGCCTCCTATCCTGTAATCCTCCGTCCCTTCGTCCTCCGACGAGTAGTCGCTGACGTCACTCAGATGTCCTCCGTTCTTGTCCTCCGCCATTGTCGGAAGAAACTGCGGAAACCTAGGAGACGATGAATCCTGAGGGAGAATCAATCTGGAGTCACCCAAATCGACTATACCCTAGCAACCCTATCGAGATATGCGACTTTCGAACACGATTCCAGTAAAAGTCCTAGAAGACTGAGTCTTTGACCGGTGATTGCCAAGAAACGAAATTGGCGGAAGGCCAGAATGAGGAAAACCCCAGAAGAGCAATTCCAAGAAAATGACAAAGAGGGGTGAAATTCGGGGAACTCAAATCGAGATCATCCCTAAACCCCTAGAAAATTGAAGAAGGGAGAGGGAAAAAAGATGGACTTGATTTGGCTGAAAACCCCACCAAGAAACGATAAATCTTGTTAAAAGCAAAGAGATTTGTCGAACCCAGATGATGTTTCACCCGATTCAACAACCCTAAATCGAAGAAAAACGATTTGGTACCAAAATGGAACGACAAAATCAGTTATTAGACGAAACAAAGAGTAGCCGTGGTGGTGTCTGTTTGAATTGTGAATTGAGGGGAGAGTCGCAAGTCCCCATAACGGAGACGACTGCACGAAAAGACAATATTGTCCTCATCCTAACTGGATATATTTGGGCCTTGGTTAGGCCCATTTATGTCCCTTTTTAAGCCCAATTCATGTTGTTATCATCGGCATTGCCAATTTGGAATCGCTGGCCGGCTCGGTGTCACCAGAGTTCCGTGTCTCACTGAGTCAACCCGGGTCCTTCACATCGCGGTGAGGTTTTGTTCCTTCAGGTGTTCATCCATTCCGTTCGTTCTTCCGTTCTAGAGGTTTCGTTCCTTCTTCGTTAGGTTATCTTAAAGGCTTTTATTTGAGTCATTTCAGAAATTTAGGGCCCTTTTTTTAAAGTGTTTCGGACTTAGGGTTTAGGAACTTGGTTGTTCAATTGATCACTACCGTACTGAGTTTGGAATGTAGAAGACGGTGAATTTACTTGTCACATCGCTTCGCTTGAATCTCTTTGTGATGCTTTGGATTCGATTGGTTTGATTTTGGTGAAATCGACAATAATTCGTTTGCTTTTATGTGATTTACTTTATAGCTTTGTGGCTTTTCTGGGTCTTGGACCAATCACCTGGAGCATTGTAAAGCTGGAGACCCTTTCTCTGTGTGGGTATGAATGAATCTTGGGTTGATGTTGGGAATTCGTATCTCTTGGAAAAATCACTCCTTTTGATGATCTCGCGCATAAGATCGTTTGCTGAAACTAGAAGTAGAAAACTCAGAAAATTTCAATGGCCATAGATGTTTTGAAACTCTACTCAATCCGAGCTTGCACGTGAACGAGCAGTGTTTTTCGGGTGTCAAAATCTTTAAGTAGAGGTTTCTTGTTTACGGTTTACGATTTTAGTGTTTAGGATTTAGGGTTTATGGTACATTAGTGTTGAAGGGCTGTTAGGATATATACATATCGTTCTAGTGAATGCTTGTTTAGACTTTGCTCGATACTTGTTTAGCTTTGAGCCTTTGAGTTCGTTATCCTTTGCATACTATCTTCTGAAAACTGATTCCATACGCTTTCGTTATTTAGAATCTCTTCTTCGGACGTTGTAGAAATCAAACGTATACTCGTTCTTTATTACCAATGCCTCCATCCCGAAATGCCATCGTAGCCACTGGCCTGGTTCTTTTCGCATCTGCAGGCTTGGCATTTCCCTTTTACATGGCGTAAGAACCCTATTTCTTCCTTCTCAATTTATCACCATGAAGAAGTGTTGAGTAGGATCAGGATGCTGTACTAACATCCGGAACGGCATGTTTTTTGTTCTGCAGATCGTCAAAGAAGCCAGTGATCGACCCAACAAAGCCACTGCCACCTCAAGCAACTTTCAGAGGACCCTATATAAACACCGGCTCACGCGATGTAGGGCCAGACCATCAAACTTACCCGAAGAAATGACTGGATCGATCTCATTCAACAAAAATCAGCATTTGAAAGCTGTGACCGAAGGGCAGGATGGTCTGCACCATTACAGGGTCTGTCCAAGCCTTATAACTCTACTTTAATAAACATAGGAGCAATCAGTGATTTATTTCAAGTAAAGAATCAAGCTTTTCACTGTTTGAGTTCTACTAGATTAAAGTGTGGATTGTTTCATCAAAATTCTTTATCTTTCTTGTCTCATATTTTATATAAGAATTCACAAGAGTTGATCAATGTATGAGAGAATCACCCCAAATCCACCATGTGTGAAAACTCATTCAAGAAAACACAAACGGAGATGGAAGAAAGCAACTTCATTTCTTATATCAAATACCGAACATTAATTCCCAAACCTAAGCAAATCTATCCCTTGAATCTTCGGATAATCCCAAAAATTTACATTCGGAAACCCTAATTACTTGCTACGTAAGAACCCAATACATCAAAAGATCGATTCCAACACACGAACTGCGAGGTAAGAACCCACATTTAAGCGCTAGTAAACTTCGTCACCGCCTTGGTACCTTCAGACACAGCATGCTTCGCGAGTTCTCCGGGCAAGACAAGCCTCACAGCGGTCTGAATCTCCCGAGAAGTGATCGTCGGCTTCTTGTTGTACCTTGCAAGCTTCGAAGATTCCTGGGCGAGCTTCTCGAAGATGTCGTTGATGAAACTGTTCATGATCCCCATGGCCTTGCTCGAGATCCCAATGTCGGGATGAACCTGCTTCAGGACCTTAAAGATGTAGATCTTGTAGGTCTCGACGCT